GTGTGTGTGTGTGTGTGTGTGTGTGTGTGTGTGTGTGTGTGTGTGTGTGTGTGTGTGCATGTCAGCTTTTGTGCACATGTACATGTATGTGGGTTCTTTCCCTTTGTTTCCTATTTGTAGGTGAGAAGTTTGAGAGAGGGATACAAGATGCTATTTTATTAGAATCTGATGAAGCTCTTCTTGTCACTGCTCAAGAAGAATTTGATATTACCGAAGATGGTAAGTAATGGTGACTTGTGATAGACAGGACAGGTGTATGACTATAATTGGAGAGAGATTTATTAATTCTGTGACAATGGTAGTTGCTGCCCCATGAATCAGCATTATTGTGACAAATTTATTGTGGGTGGGTAATGGGCTTTAACCGAGAGAGGGAGAAACATAATTGGTTGTTTACATGCAGTATTGTACATGTAGGTTATTGTACACTATTCTATTATATGTAGGTAGTAAAGTCCATCGTACTCCTGGTGATAGGTGGATGGTTCATGGACCAACTGACTATATACCTAGAACTGAGATTGGGAGCATACAGAGGAGGTTAGTATTCGTCAGTACTGTTTATGAAAGTACACGTATAGACATCATTACATTAATAATTGGGGCGAGCAAAAGCGAGCCCCACTTAAGCGAGACTCTTCTGTATGTATGTATGTATGTATGTACGTACGTCTTCAGTCACGCCTATTCTGGTCACACCCAACGTGTGCACTACTATCTATTTAAATGTCAATGATCTAATGCGGTAGTACTCTGATGAAATATTTTCATTTATGTGGGTGTGGTTGCAATGAAACAAATTGCAAAATGGTGACTATAAAGGCTATGAAACGGGAGCAATTCTTCAGCTTACTTGCAGCAGGATAAGACTCATCTGTTATCCAGACACTTCTCTAGCAGAAAGAAGGTTAACAAAGCAGCTATATAATCATCAAGGTCTGTAATCATGATCCCTTATCCATCAGAAAGAAGATCAAGTTGTGAGACAGTGACTGCTATTTATATCTGCAGAAATTCTTAACTCATGAAGCTTGAAGAGCAAGCTCATAGTATGAAATTACCTTCCACTGATGAAAGTTCTGCAATGCTTTGCATCAGTATATTGACATCAACACTAGTCTTAATATGTGACTACATCAATCTATATAGACATTGTACATTGCTAATTGAAAATCAAGATTTTAATCGTTTTGCTCGCCCCTCAATGGTTTACATTCGCCTAGTAATGTCAAATTTTAATATCATGCAGTGGTGTAAGTGCTTGTATGAATTGATTGGCTTTTGTTTAGACCACAGCTTAGAGTGGGGTCACATTAAAGAACAAATGACCATTGATTTCACTAGGAGTATTTGGGGAGAGCACCTATATAATAGTTGTGTTAGGAATGGTCCAAGCCTTTGAAGTCCACTGTCACAGGCTGATAGTGTGATGAGGAATACTTTTAAGTTATAGTTCCTATCTCTCTATTGTAGGAAGGCTACTCCATTGAATGAGAATGAAGGGATTTATGTTAGAAATGTTCAGTCAGGACAGGTAAACCAATACAATACAGTACAGTGCTATATTAATACTAACACTGGTGGTGTGTCCAATACAGTACAGTACAGTACAGTGCTATATTAATACTAGCACTGGTGGTGTGTCCAATACAGTACAATACAGTACAGTGCTATATTAATACTAACACTGGTGGTGTGTCCAATAGGTTCGTGCTATATTGGGCCCTCAGTCTTATCTATTGCAAGCTGCTGAGGAACTGTATAAGAAAGAACTGACTCCACTAGCAGAAGAAATGTTAAAGTAATGGTTGACTTGAATTTGAGATGGCTATCTCCCATGAGCTTCTCTCTGCTCCTCTCTGATAAGAGTTGCTGTAAGTTCTGTAACACAACTGCAAAACTGAATAATTTCTGTAGTCCCTCCTTATAGGCCCTTATCCTCTTTATAGCCTTGTGTTCTGGCAGTATTGTTATCATTACTGCAGCCAGGGCTCCTCCTTTATCCAAGCTTGGGGCTAGTTAGTATAGGGTTAGGGACAGGATGGATATTTTCTGGTGTCAACTGTAATCCCAGATATTATTATAATGATTCTGTTGTGATGGTATTGAAAACCAACAAAGTATCTCTATTCTTCTCATTGTAGGGAGGGTGGTGGTGTTGGTGATGCCAATATTAGGAAGATAGCATATTTTGATGGAGCTAAAGACCCTTCGCTCTTTAAGGGAAATGTAAGAATTATATAATCAGTACATACCTTTGGCTGTAGTTTGCACTCATTCTTTCTCTTCAATACGTTTGCATACAGCCACATGAGTACATGCATGTTTAAAAAACAATTTACAGACAAATCTTCTCTTTTCCCTCTCTCTTCTTGTCCTCCTCTTTCTTCATAGAAACGTGACAAGACTCGTGTAGTTACTTACAGGTGCCCCAGTAACTGTGCAGTCCAAGTGAGTCTACTTATGATACTGATACATCTGCCTATGCAACACAACACTGACTTTAGGTGTACAATTATATAGAGAAGACAGCCCGGGTTGTATTTGGTCCTGATCTTGTAGTCCTGGATCCTCATGAGAACTTTAATGTCCTCAGTTTGAGTGGTGAGGGAGAGAGAGGGAGGAGAGGAGAGGGGACAGCTAGGGGAGGGTGTCTCTTTATTGTTATTTTCAGCTGGTAAACCAAAGAAGGAGAATGCCCTGAAGACTATTTGCCTCATGCTAGGTCCTGACTTTATATCTGACCATATTACAGTAAGTGCATGCTCCTGCACTACTGGCCTCTTGTTAATTTCTCAGCGCAATAAGTGATATAATATCCTTTTCATTCATGTTTCAATCTAAGGCTAAGGGTATCATGTGCATGTGTTGCTCTGATGAAAACCGGCTCATAAATTTTATAATTTTACATATCACCTGAAAAAAGAAACACCAATCATGTATAATAGTAGTCAATAATAATTGAAAAAGGACGAAACAGTTTGTATTGAATTTGCTATCCACACAAAGTAGTCTGAACGGTGCCGGTTGATAATGGCTTTTTGTGTAGAGTCTCTTCGATCACTCCAACGAGGAAGCTTTTATCTTTTGCTAGAGTCTGTTTAATCACTCCAGTAACGAGGAGGCTTTTCTCATCTGCTCTTCCAGGTGCTAAATCTGCTCCTGGTACAAAGGAGCCCCTGCTCTGCAGATCTCCAGCTCCCTGTCCGTAGGCCTGTGTCTGAAAGTGCACCTCGCAGGCCTCTGTCAGAAAGTCCACGAAATCGACAGGCTCCGAGCCCTCGCCTGTCAGAAAGTCGGGGCAGTTCGTAGGCTCGCAGACCTCCGACAGAAAGTACGCAAAGTCAGGATGCTCCCACGCCTCTGTCAGAAAGTACGGAAAGTCGGTAGGCTCGCAGGCCTCGGTCAGAAAGTACGGGCAGTTCGTAGGCTCCGCTGCAGCCCCTGTCAGAAAGTCCATCTCGCAGGCCTGATCTCCCCCTGTCTCAGCTATTGGTTTAGCACAGTAGAAAGAGCAGTGGCAAGTATCAGTAGTTTCTGAGCCAAAGCAGGCGGGTACCCGCCTGACCATACGACAGCTATAATCGAACTTGGCAAACTACTCCTTGAGCCCTTCAGGCAACTGCTGGTAAGTCCTTGTCTCACAGTAGTATCGGCTCAGACGCTGGTCTTTTGTCCCTGCATTCTAGGAGCTTGAGCTTCTCAAGCAACTGCACTTGCGCATTTCCACAGTCCTTTATATACGGTCTGGGCTGTTTGTGTAGGTGGCATGTCCAGCATAGCAATTGCAATGGAACTTCCGGTCACATTAATTTAATGATATTCATTGGAATTACCATAGCAACGGCAGCTCAGCAGTGGTGGATTGATAGGAAGCTTCACTACAAAGCCTGCTAACGTCTTTCTGGTTCATGGATGGGACTTCACTAGATACTTGGAGCTTCTTGAATGCTACTTAATGCAATTGGTTATGGTAGTTTTTTCATATTCTATTGTTAAAGTGGCAGGCGTGGCGCAAGAAGACTCATCCACTAACAAACGGCCTTCTTATTATTACTTTAAAGGATCTAGAGACATGATTTGCTTGTATAGCTGTTAAGCACTCTTAGTTTTACTTTATTATTCCTATGAGAAGAGAAAAGCACTTGTTCACTCTTTTTGCTGCACCCGTTATCACTGAGATGACTAAAATTATTTCACCTTTAGAAGACAAAAGTTCCGAACAAAGTTTTGAATTTCTTTATCTTTTTTGCATGATTGGGCAGTAAAAATGTTGTACTTTCACAAAATAAGTGCGCAATTTGTCAAAAATTGTTTGAAATTTAGATATAACCATTCAAAAAGTAAAAAATTTATCATACATACATAAAGGAATGACAAAATGGCGGCACTGACTGCCTCATCTTTAATCTGTAAATGTTCCACACAAAGTTACTCCAAGTGCTGTCATATTTAGCAGGAACACAGGTATAATTATGGAGAACAGCTACTGAAGTGCGCAAATTGATGAGACTTATTCTGAAGAAAGATATAGCCTAGTAAATGGAAATATCCATTCCTGCCCTGTATAAAGTCAACCAGTAGTATACGGAGATAATTGCTCAGTATACTAATCCGTGTCCACTCATTGCTGGACATGGCCACATCCGGTATCACTAAAGTTGAGAATTTTTGCATTTCCTTTTCTGCATAGATATACATTTATCTATGGTTTCTACTAGCAAGAATAAAATAATACCTGAAAGTAATAAAAGTACCTTTAGGTATTTTACTCTTGCTACTGGGCAGCCAGTGGAAATTGGTCATACTGCTACCTAGTCTCATGTAGCCAGACTCCTCCCTTTTTTGACTTTGGGGTGTGTCTGACTACGTGGGACTAACTGCTGTCTATTAGAAAAAGAGAAATTGATGATGAATGTATTGTTCCTTAGTTGTTTTTCTTGTTATCTATAGGTAGAGACATCAGATCATGCTCGTCTTAAAATTGCTGTATCAATGAACAATGAATTCAGAGTAAGGACACACATGGACTATAATTTCATTCCCTCTCTTCTCTCCTTCCTCTCTCCTCCTCTCTCTCCTCCTCTTAAGGTTGAGAGAGGTAACCCAGAGAGTGAGGCTATGCTGTTCAGTGTTCCAGACTTCATTGGATTTGCTTGCAGAGAAGTTGGTAAGTGGTCTGGACTGTATTGTACTGTATTCATTATATGTGTATTAATGCCATGAGTTTATACATGTACTGTATGTGCATAGCAGTACAATACAAGTTTTACAACACAACTCATAAGATCAGCAATCTGTTAAAAGTTATTGACCAAGACAACACATTATATAAATTCTTAATTTAGTTATATGTGTCATATGTATGCTCAATAGTAGATAATTACTCTTGGTATGCTGTATATCAGTTATATGGCTCCCTCTTATTTTTCACAGCTAGTAAAGTAAGAGGTAAAGTAGCCTCTATACCATTTGAACAGTTCCACAAGCATTCAGCCGATATTATAACTGCTGCTGTGTTTGGTAAGAATGTTGATGGAGAAGTTAATAAAGAAGTGATATTCACTGCTAATAACCTGGTGAGTAGTTGTAAATATTTTTAACTTAGTCATTCACATCCATAAGTTTGCTCTTACTAATGATACATACATGTATGACTTACAGTATGCCAATTGGGAAAGTTATGTCTTGTGCAAAACAAGGCAAAACAATGCTAAATAGCATAATGATATTCATTTGTCACATCTGTCCTTTTAGAAGCCTGAAGCCCTTTCAAAGTTTAATGAACTACACAGTTCTTACTCTTTCTTCTCTTCTCTTTATTTGATTCAATTCCTCTACCTATAAAAGATTATAAATATGAAATACATGTATATAGCTACTTTGCTATAATCACCAAAGCTTGACCCCACAAAAATATTCAGCTCTACAGAATTTGCTTTGCTCCTACTTGTATAGTGGCTTATGATGTATTGTGTAGGTGATCACTAATATTGATATTCAAAGTATTGAACCAATTGATCATCATATGAGGGACTCTCTATCTAAATCTGTGCAAATGGCAATTGAAATATCTACCAAGTGAGTCCACACTTCATCTACAATTCATACAGTATATGTATAATGTTATCCACTCTGCCAGCCCTGTTATAGTTTTGGGCCTGTCCTCTTAATACAGTCCTTTGTTATGACAGAACTCCTGGGAATGATACAAAAGAAATATCTGAAAAACGTAGTCACACACACACACACACACACACACCCTCTTTCATGTGTGTTCCCTCGCTATTCCTTCTCTTATGTGTTTCCCTTTCTATTCTCTGATCAGATGCAAGAGGCTGAGGTTCAGTTCTTGAGGGAACAGAATGAACTGCAAATAAAGAGAGCTAAAGATCTCAGCAACATTGAAGTATATCATTATCATTTTGTGCTGTCATTGTGTTTTCAACATAAATCATTTATAAGTATTACTGTATTGTTATGATAATTAATGTCAATCTATTGTAATAGGTGTCTAAGTTCAGTACATTGGTTAGTTCTATGGGTAAACAGACTATATCCCGTATTGCTAAAGCTGGACCAGAATCAAAGGTACAGTATACATTAATACAGTGTTTGTTCACATTGGGTGTGTTAGTTTATTTATAATGATTCTTCTCTCTCTCCTCCTCTAGGCTTGTTTGTTACAGAGTTTAGGTATACAGTCTGTTCTCATTACTGATGGTAAAACTCCAATTAATATGATTGGGAACCAGACAGGTGGCTATGCTACTACTTATGCTCCTTAGAAAACTCTTTGAGGAGGACTATTATATCATTATTATTTGTGTTAATCATTAGTATAGTTTTTAGCTGAATTTATATAGTTTTCAGAGATTTTTATTATTTTCTATTGGACATGCAGAATTGGACTTCAACAAAATTTTAAAAATGCACCACACAAATTTTAAAATCGATATTCAAATCCTGGTTAGTAAGAGAAATGTTGACCACACATAATATTACATATATATATACTTGAAAAAAATGAAGCTTTAACAGTTCATAAATAGGAAAATATAAAAACAATAATAACAGAGGTAAGGAGTTCAATTCTCAGTTCCCGACAACGACATTTTTGGGGACGGCATTTCTTGTGACAACTAGACCGCCAAAAGGCACATCGCCAAATACTGGGAATCTTCCTATCACAAGAGCGCTTAAATTGTTGTCTTGTGTACAAGGCTGATCAAGACTTATTTGCCAGATTTCAATCTTCTTTACAGTATCTATGGTGCCTGTGGCATTGATCGCTTCGTGATTGTCCATTTCTAGTACTCAGAAAAGTTGTAAGACTAAATAGAGGTAGCTAAAGTCCAGGGCCGCTCCACTCTTTTTTGATCTGGTGCGATGGTTTCCGCCTTTATATAGACTAGGATAAATCATCTTGCGTTTTCAGGCCAGTTATACCACCGTGATAAGCTAAAACTGCCTCTCCGCTTGCTTCTCAACCTCAATCTCCTACTGTTTTAGCCTGACTCTGCTGATTGTTTATTTGTTTTATATTTTCATATTGCGCATGCGCAGAGCACTTATTAAAGATGGTCAACTATCTACCACACCCATTATAAGGTGTGACTGACTAAAAATCAGCTGAAAATCAAAATGTCGGACGGTGATTCATCATGGAAGTTGCATATTCTGAGAAAACTAAGAGAAAGGAACAGCAAAGAGACTAGCTGCTTCAAAGAGCTCATACTATCACGTAAGACACAAGTAATACCAACAGCAAACATACTCGTTCTATTCCTTTATCACCAGACGGGCGGCTGTTTGATCAAGTGGAGAACCTAAAGAAGGACATCACTAGACTGGAATACCAGAACAATGAACTGGAGAGGGTGAGCCTACACTAATGACTCACTCATTAGTGATTATTGATAGGATCTAAGAGAAGGAGGGGGCAGTACAGGAGGAGGAGCTAATAAATTGAACAAACGAGTTGAGGATCTTCAGGAGAGACTCTTAACGAGGACTGATGAGGTCTCTGAGGCTCGTCGGGCAACAGCTGATGTGAGTGGAGGGTATACTATATGTATATAGGGCATTCTAATGTACAGTGCTAGTTTTATAAGGATTGTAATGTGTATGTACATGTATATATGTGTGTGTATTATGTAGCATGTATTGTATTGTATAGGCAATGGTTAAAGTTACTGAACTGTCAAGTCAGGTACGATCCAAAGATGATGAAATATCAAAGAAGGAGACACAGTGAGTTAAAGAAATAGTAATAATAATTATATAATCACATTTTATCATAATAAATAAGATTATATTATTATTTATAATAATGTATTGAATGTGTTGCTGGCATTATTGCTATTTCTCCTCTGCTAGGATTAATAATTTGACGAACGTTCAAAGGAAATTGGAAGAGAAGATAAACACTTTAGAGGAATCAATGAAGAATAATAGCTCCACCCACAGCGTAAGGACATACCCACTTTCAATGTATCAGAAAATGTGATAAAAATTTGGGGTGATTTCAGAGCCATTTTTTGGAAAAAAAACCATGGACTTATAGTACAGGGTATTTTTCAGAATTTTGGCATTTTCTTAAAATGGCCATAACTTGAAAAATTGAAGTCGGAATCACCTCAAACTTGCTACACAGCATAAGTACATCAATATGATGAATGAAATATAGCCTAAGTACTGGTGCAGTGCAGCAACTCCATACAGTTGGTTGTAGTATTGATGTGTTTCTTTTGTTTAGAGACTGATGGATGAACACAGTGAGTTGCAGCTGGAGTTTAACAGTCAAGACAGGAAACTGAAAGATCTCCAGCTAGAAAATGATAGACTGGTAAATTATTATTATATTACATGTATTATTGTTATTATTATTGTTTTGTTATTATTCATTTGTTGTTTATAGCGAGCAGAAGTGATGAAAATGAAAGCTGAAGAAGCTGATCGAATGAATAAAATAACAGAATCTGAAAAAGCGTAAGATGTACATGAAGTATGTACATGTACATGTCTTTTATTTTATGTTTAGTGCCAGAGAGAAAGATATTAAAAAACAGATAGAAGAAGCTACTAAACCAAAGCAGTCAATTGTTGAAACAAAGTCAGCAAAGAAGGCGTCCTCACCTGATTTCATTGACCCAGCTGCTGTCTATCCCTCCATCATACCAGAGAAAGTGTTCTTCTCTACAGTATGTCATTTAAATGGATGGGCCAACAATTACTGCATTCAGTATAATTATAAAAGACTGTGCTTTCTTTATGTATTTCCTGATCCAATTACAATAAAATTTTATTCTTTCCCCTTGTATTTGTATCATCACCTTAGGAAGCTCATGAAGGAGAGATTAGTGCTCTCTCTTTTAGTTTGGACGGACACTTCCTAGCGACAGGAGGAGCTGATAAGGTCATTAAAGTTTGGAGAGTCCTACAAACAGAAGGTAGAGAGAGAGAGAGTGACTTTTACTGGTAATTGATCCTTTTATACAGAGAAGGTTGAGCTGGTTGCTCCATTACATGGATCTGGTGCTAGCATCATGTCAGTTCAGTTTGATCACATTGTAAGGAACTCACTCTACCACCTCCATCCCTTCCCTTCCCCTCCCCTCTCCCTTTCTTTCAGAATAAATATGTTTTAGCTGCTTCTAATGATTTCGCAACTCGTCTCTGGACACTTGGAGACCAAAGGCCGAGAGTAAGCAACTTTAATAATTACATAAAATGAAAATATTATTGTAATAATATTGTCTGTAATAGCACACCTTAACTGGGCACACTGCTAAAGTATTTTCTGCTAAGTTTATGGATGACAGTCAGCGAGTGGTAAGATCAATCCTGTAATCTTTTGTGTCTTATTTCTTCTTCTCCAGATCACTGGGAGTCAGGATAAGACTTTAAAGATTTGGGATCTGAAGCAGAGACGATGTAAGTTATTAATAGTTATTAAACTGGTTATTAATAGTGGGTGGGGTCTGATAGGTGTGAAGACACTCTTTGCTGGTTCAAGTTGCTGTGATCTTGTCCATGCTCACGTACTGGGGTAAGAGTTACAAATAATTTCACTACATGTACAATGTGCATACATGTATGGTACAGTCTTTTATGACTAATGAAAAGGATGTACCTATATCTTTTGCAATGATAAAAATAATATACTTATTTTAGCATGTTCAAAATTAATTATTATTTAGAATTATTCTTTTTTTCCTCTTCTCTATCCAGTAATATGATTATCAGTGGCCATTGGGATAAGAAGATTCGGTTTTGGGACTTGCGTGTGAGCAGTGTCAACCCGAGCCATGAGCTGGCAATACAGGGAAGAGTAACATCTCTTAGTCTTTTTCCAGGTAGGGGATGGAGAGAGGGAGGGAGAGGAACATTGATAAATGCTTTTATAATAATTTGTTGTAGAGCGTTTTATGTTGCTTTGTTCCACTCGTGATGATACCTCCTTAAGATTGATTGATTTGCGTCAAAATGCAATCACTTCGACCTTTAGGTGAGATACATGTATACCATATCAGTGATAGATACGTTGATCCTATTTGTGTTAAATTCTAATATAGTGGGTTTAATCTCAGCACTGATTGGTCAAGAGCTAGCTTCAGGTATGAACATTACAATTTATTTATTTATTTGTTTGTTTGTTTGTTTATTGTTAGTCCTGATGGCCAGTATGTTGCTGTTGGTGGTTCTGATGGTATCATTCACATTTGGGAAGCAATGACTGGACGAGCTCATAAAGTTAAGAAAGACGTCTCAGTTCACAAGTATGTGTAATGGAAACTTCTGCAACTATGACCATTTCTCACTTCCCCCCTCTCTCTCCCCCTCCCTCTCTTTCTCTCTCTCTCTCTTCCTCTCCCTCCCTCTCTCTCTCTCCCTCTCTCTTCCTCTCCCTCCCCCCTCTCTCTCTCTCCCTCTCTCTTCCTCTCCCTCCCCCCTCTCTCTCTCTCAGTCGTGATATTGTTGCTTGTTGCTGGCATCCTAAAGGTCAAGTCTTTGCATCAGTCGACCGGAGTAAGAAGCTGGCAGTTTGGAAGCGCTAAAGTTATAAGAATAATAATGAAAACAGTTTAAAGACTTTTACTATTATTTTTATTGTGCTTTTTGCCGTAAATATTCTTATTGTTAGTATACTATTAGAGCTAATGCAAAGTAATATTGATGTTAATGGTGGGTGTGGCTACAGAGTAGAAAGGTAACTTGAACTATAAAAGGAGAAGAGACATTCTTTAGATCATCTGAACTGGAGAACAAAGCCAAAGGACTGAAGGGAGCAACATGGCCGATGATATAGAAGACGAGGACTTTCTCTTATCGCAGCTAACGGCTGAGGAAATAGCAGAACTATCAGAAATAATCGACCCAGATGTAATAACAAAACCGAGCAAAACAAACTAGCATTATTATATAATTATGAGTGTCCTTCTTTATCCTTAGAATGAGTTGCTGCCAGCTTCAGATAGGCTACCACCACAGACTAAGAAGAAACCAACTGGACCTTATGATAGACAACACTTACTGGAACACCTCAGGAAAGAAGCACTGGTAAAGAGAGAGAGAGAGAGGAAAGAAGAGTTTGATGGAGAAGGGTAAAAAAGGGAGGAAAGGAGAGAGAGAGGGAGGGAGAAAAAAGAGAGAGGAGTTTGATAGAATAAAAGTATAAAGATATGATAGAGAGAGAGAGAGATGTTGAGGAAGTGTAGAAGATAGGAAGGAATGCACAGTGTATGTCAGTCAGTTAATATCTTATTTGTTGTGTACATTGGTTGTTGCCAAATATCCCTCAGTGTGTGTGGTGGTGGCCTGTTAGGCTGTTAACATTAGCAGGATCCATTACAAAGGATATCACACACTAACTCAATAACAATGTTCTTATGAACTGCGTAACGCGATATCAACCATTAAATGATTTAACATCTGATACTTGATACGATTCGTCAACATGATCTGTGAACTAGTGTGTGTTTACTTGGCACCATTATAATTCTGTTATTATTGAATTAATGAAAGCTGTCAACATTCATTACTGTGTACTATTATAGTGATTAAGATTTTAAGGGATCATTAATGAAGAATTTGCTTTTTTCACACCACAAGTTCTTCAGCCTGATAATTACAATAAATGTGTCAATTATTTAACACTTTATGGTCTATAATAATAATGATTGTCACTCATCTTCACTAGTTACTGTACTCCATAAAACTGTCAGTGACATCAACTATATGATCTGATTTATTATACGTGATCATCATCATCATCATCATCATCATTATTATTATTATTATTTTAGGCTTCCAAAGTTGGTGATGACTACACTCCTTTCATCAAGCAAAAGAGAGAGGAGGTGAGGGAGAAGAAGAAGGAGAACACTGCTCCAGCTGCTAAACCTAAGAACTACCTCTCAGAGTTTGATGACATCCTCTCAGAAATGGATGATGATCAACTTGCAGAACTAGCCCGTGAGTTTATCCTCTTCCCTTCTCCCTCTCCCTCTCTCTTAATGTAACTATTATGTTTTGTGTCAATTTCAATTTCCTCCTTCCCCTCCTCCTCATATTATGTTGCTACAGAGGAGCTAGGTATTCATGGCATGTTAACTCAAGATCAGAGTAGAGGGGACATCACTGCCAGCAAGGTTTCTTCATTCTCCACACAGAAACTAAGTTAGCAAATAATTCTTACTAATGTCTATATTTTCCTGTGTCCTTCAGATAAGTTGTTATCTGCTAAAGGTAATGATGAGAGTGATCACGCTGATCTTGATCAAGTGATTCAATCAGTTCAAGAAGATGATCCCTCGTTGACTGATCTTAACCTCAACAATCACCCACTGATCACTCCGGAGATCATACACCAGTTACTAACGGCACTGGAGGGCAACACACACGTTACTAAACTCTCTCTGGCTAATATCAAGTTCAACGACGACCATGCTGCTGTAAGCTGTAAAATGATTAAATCTGTACAATAAATTTGTCCTATACTACAGTAATAACTTTAACTGCATTCACTAGGCAACTAATAACCAATAAATCATAAATGAACTGTATTTCAGTTCAATATTTGATTATTTTAGCTGTTACATAGTATAAGTATCTTCTTTTCTTTATTGCTTTGCTTATACAGAGTCTGGGTAGCATACTGTCTGATAACAGATCACTGCTGATGATTAATCTTGATTCTAATAGACTTGGAAATGAAGGAATAAGAGTAAGGACTTATATAATATACTAAGGAATGTTATTCAATATTAAATTATTAATTATGATGGTAGTTGTGACTGATGCTTATGTAAGCTGTGTCTTTACTTGATTGTTATGTTTAAGTACAAAATTTCTCTGTACTTGTACTGTACCTATCCCTATCTCATTTCTCCTCCTACACTATACAACATGTTATTGATCTTGTTATTCATTCCTACAGTATATCATTACTTTGTTTATTATTATGATGTGTATATCTCCATTGTATTTTAATCACTTTATTTTTTGCTTAGGCTATCATGAAAGCTCTTGTTGATAATTTCACACTTCAAGAGATAAGACTCTGTAATCAGGTGTGTTGACATGCACCTCCTTTGTAAATGTATTCTATTTTGTATTACTGTTCTTTTTGCCTCTCTCTCTCTCTCTTCCCTCTCTCTTTCCCTCCCCCCCCTCTCTCTCTCTCTCCCCCTCAGTACAGTAAAGGAGGTCACAGGATAGAGGCTGAGATTGGAAAGTATTTGGAAAAGAACAAGACAATACGAAAGCTCGGCTACTCCTTCACGTGCAATGGCCCCAGGATGGAAGTAGAGAAATGGATAATGAGAAATATTGATCTTCGTAAGTGAGATATTGCGAGGAAATGCAGCTTTATTTTTGCAGCACTACTAATCATATGAAATAGCTTACCTACTAAAATTCCCTGTACAGGGAATTAATCAAAAATGGCTAGGAGAGAATTCTTAATTTTCATAACTTTTTCTGATACCTATACATGCTCTTATGTTGTGTTTCAATTTTGAACTGATTCCGATCAAAATTGGATTTTTTACGAATTTTTAAAGTTGCTCAAAAATCAGGTCAAAGTCCCTGTACTATAGTACAGGAATTTTGGTCAAATTTCGCTAAAAATGACTAGGAGAGAATTTTTCATTTTTATTACATTTTCTGATGCTTATACATGTTCTTATGTTGTGTTTCTAGTTTGAGCTGATTCCGGTCAAAATTGTATTTTTTACGAATTTTTAAAGTTGCTCAAAAATTGGGTCAAAGTCCCTGTACTATAGTACAGGGATTTTGGTCAAATTTCGCCAAAAATGACTAGGAGAGAATTTTTCATTTTTATAATTTTTTCTGATGCATATACATGTTCTTATGTTGTGTTTCAAGTTTGAGTTGATTCCGATCAAAATTGGATTTTATATGAATTTTTAAAGTTGCTCAAAAATCAGGTCAAATAAAGTAACAATATAGTGAATGGGTTTTTGCTTGTCACGGATTTTGTGACAATGGAAGCAATGGGTTTTTGCTTGTCACGGATTTCATGACAATGGATCTAATGGTTGTTGCATAGACTGATTCCAATCAAAATTTGATTATCATTGTCATATTTTTTTGTGTTTTTGTAGAGAGACAAAGGCGTATGTATGATTCAAGGTGATCCTCTCATTTTAATGCCACGCCCCCAGTCACATGACTTGTCTCTGGTATACTCTACTGCAGAAAACACTTCGTCACAATTTCATTTTATTATTGTTATTATTATTAGTATTATTATTATCCACTTATTATAACTTATCCATTCTGTTTTCATTTTTTCTTATTTTTAGCATTTAAACATGCAAACAGCCATTGTGTAGCATTTTTAGCTAAAATTATTTTAATTATGAAAAATCAATTAATGTAACTAATTTAGAAAAGTTGACACACCTTTTTGCTGCACAAAAATGTCTACACTGGACCTATCAGGTCGAGTTGCTCTTGTAACTGGAGGCGCTCAAGGAATTGGATTAGCAATTGTACAGCTGTTACTGGAAGCTGGAGCTAAAGTCTGAGCCTTCCACTATAATTATAGAGCTATAATATTTTTTTCTCTCACTTTCCTTTCTGTGAAGGTTGCTTTGGTTGATATTTCTCCTAATCTAAGAGAGACAGGGCAAAGACTTGGCAGAAGCTTTAAACCGGAAAACGTTCTTTGTCTGACCTGTGACGTTACTGACTCAACTAGTTTAGTGAGTGATTAATGAATTACATTTTATTTAATATTCTTCTTCATACGTTTAATAGCGTAAATCATTTGAGAAGGTTTTGAGTCATTATGGCAGTCTTGACATCGTTGTGAATAATGCTGGCATTGCCGATGAAGTGAACTGGGACAAGATGTTACACATTAATCTGGTCAGTAATGTAATACCATGTGATCATCATGTGATCATTGTGTGATCATCATGTGATACTGTATTGTAGCATGCTGTCATTGCTGGCACATATCTAGCACTGGAACTCATGGATCCAGAAAAAGGCGGAGTCATTATCAACGTATCATCAATGTCAGGTATGGAAATAAAATTTTGCTAGCTCCTTTTCATTTTTCTGGATTTGCTAACTACTTTTATAGCTTTATATCCTGTGGTGTATGCCCCAGCTTATTCTGCTTCAAAAAAAGCTGTTGTTACATTTACAAGATGCATAAAGGCAGGCTTAGCATTCATTACTTAACTGCTTGAATTCCTATTTCTTCTAAATGTCTAGTCTGCTGCAGAAGGAGCTAATGTAAGAGTAAACTGTATATGTCCTTATTACGTGAAGACTCAAATGAGCCAAAGAGGACTGGATGCAATGCCTGAACAATTTAAGAATGAAATACTACAGAATGGATTAATGGAGTAATTGATCTTACTGCATTTTCTTCTCTTCTTTGCTTTCTAGTCTTTCTCTCTCTTTTGATTTCTTTCCTTATTCCTGATCTTTAATGTATAATATCAATAATTAATGTCTTTCTTTGTATTGTATGTATTTTCATAGTCCTGAAGATGCAGCTAAAGGTATAATGGAGCTCATTACTGATACATCAAAGAATGGTACAGTATTAAGAGCATCAGCAAAGAGAGGACTCTCCTATCACATTTTTAACGATAACACTTTCTAAATTATAAGATCTTGTAGTGTAGTCCTATTTTCCAC